GTTGGGTAGCTCTGCAGATGCCTCGTGGCTGGCCTGAGGTACGGTTTGGACTTGTCTCTTGGTGGCAGATCTCCCAGCCTTTGCCAGACATCGGGCACCTGGGGCAGGAGCCCAGCTTGAGCGTGCAGGCCCCTGGTGTTCGTTGCCTCTGCCCATGAAGACTGATTTACGGCTTGCAATATTTATCTTTCAAACCGTTTGTGTGTGTCTGCTCGATAATCAAGCAACGATTTAGAAATGCTGCTTCCTGAAGCTTTGCAGCCTAATGTAGTTTCACAGCTCCAATTACAAATGAGAAAAATTATTTCATCTAAAAACAGGGGAGCTAGACATTTCTGAGAAATCATGGTTAGAGAGAAGACAAAGTACTTTCTGAAAAACTGGCCATGATACTAATGGCTTCCTCGCTGAAAATCTTGCCGACTCTCCGATGCCTCCATCTTACGGGGATGCTGGTTTTGCTAACTGTGAAGCTGATGACTGTCAGATTGACAAACCATTGCTTCTGCTGGGGCCTGGTCTGCAGCTCCACAGCCTCAGTGCGTTGAGAGCAATGCAAACGTGTCCACCAGCTTTCCACCTAGTAAATATATCCTTTTTCCTGCGACACTTTCCCTGAATCTGTATTCATAGAATCCTAGAATTTTGGATGGTGCTTAGCAATCATTTACCTCAACCCTTCATCTGATACCTTACCTCCTCATCATCCATGTCCATAGGCAGCTACCTACTGCTTGAATACTTCTAGTGATGGAGAACTCACTACTGGACCTTTCCATGAGACTCTACTAATTTAGCTCAATTTTAAGTAGTATGTAAAGTCTAGTGACTTCCCGAGGAGATCATTAATGTCACTAAATTAATATCTAATATCAATTAAGATCACTAAAATCTCCCAATTGGAGAGATTGGACTTTTCCCTTGGACTCATGTCTTTTCCCGTGGACTCATGTCTTTGTAATGGGATCTATCTGAGGTAATTCACCTAGAGTACTAACAGACTGAACTTTTAAGGAAAACCTTACCTCGGTTATTCCACTGCTCTGTTTTAAGACCACTCCTAACAAATTGCCACTCCCGAGAGGTAAAGGCATTAGGCATGTTTTCTTGTCTACCCAAGTCTGTTTCTTGTCTCTGTTGGCTCCATTGCTGTGCTGCGTAGTTACCCCTGGTCATTCCCTCCCACCCCACAGTAGCAGCTGCACGTGGTGAGCCCTCAGTAGATCATGTGGACTGCATGGGTGACTGAGCTAATTAACTGCACGAATGCAGTGGCTCTTTACCTGCCTTTACACAGCTCCTTCCTGTAGGTTCTAGGGATCTCATTTTGCAGGTGGGCCGAGTTTTGAAAGATTTTTAATATTGAGTCACAAATGGCTATTTTAGGCCTTAAAATATTGTCTTCTTCTTATATGTTAAACTTCAGACGATGGACCACTCTGGTCTGTTTCTTACCACCTTCCTTCGAAGGCTTATCAAGTCTTCAGCTTCAGCAGAAGACAAGCACGTTGTGTCAGACGTGAGGACTCTGGGCTGGGGGGTCTCCAGCACTTATTCTCGTTGTCATCTCTTGGGTGTCTCTGATATCACCTGCATGGATCTTGCCTCTTGTTCTCCTCCTTCAGCCACCCCACACGCTGCAATGACACAAAATGACACAGATCTCCTTAAGGCACATGCTTTGGTGGCTCCATTTTGCCCAGAGAACTGTGTAAAAACAAGACTTTGTGTTGTGTTCTAAACCTCCTTTGTTAGAATCTCTTACTGATTTTATTTTTCAAAGAGGAAGACTTTACAATCCTTATCCAACTTAGTAGGAGGATGTAAAATTCTTATCTTCTGGTTGGGTTTAGTTGTGATGACATCATTGGTGGAGGCATAATTGGGAAGTTAAGTGTCATGAATTTGGTGAGGTTATTAATTTTCCAATGGCAAAGAGTTTAACCACTTCAAATGAACTCGCCTAGCTTTTCTACAACAAACATTTTAACACATATAATTTGCCTCTATCAAACAAAACGTTTCAAAGTTATAAGGTCACATCTTCTTAAAGATAGCGTTTAAAACAAACTTTTGAACAAACGTAAAATTTTTTTCCATTTTTTAAAAAATTTCAGCATATTATGGGGGTACAAATGTTAAAGTTACGTATATTGCCCATGCCCCCTTCCCCCGCCCCCACGCCCCTCGAGTCAGAGCTTCAAGCGTGACCATCCCCTAGACGTTGCATATCTCACCTGTTATGTTCGTATATACCTTTTAATAAATAGATCTGGATAAAAACTCAACTTTATGATGGCAGGATATGGATTAAGTATAGATTTCACTTAAATGACATGGTAATTGGTATTTAAATACTCTCCAACCTTCTCCCTTGTCTCTCTAAACAAAGGGTAATGACTAACCCAGTGTCCAGTCTTCTTGGAGATTCTTAGGCCAACAGTTTCTTAAGTCCAAATTTCTCATAAAGTATTATTGAACCCTTGGCCTATGATTTTGTCTACAAATTTAAGCAAGCTGAATTAAAGTTTTTGTTGTCTATGATGTTCTGTTTCCACAGTACTGACATCTCCTATTGCGTTTCAGAACTCTTATTTCAAGTGTTATTTCTCACCATTCTATTTCCAAGAAAATAGTCCGCTTACCTTATGTCTGTGTACTGTAAATCACCCACTGTTCTGTAAATCCCCACTCTCCATTTGGCAACATTATCCACTTTTCGGGGACCATCTCAAATAGCACCTCTTCCATTCATTCACCCAAGGCTCACTGATTCACTGCTATGATCCAGGCACTGTATTAGGCACTGGAATTTTAGTCTAGTTCTCATGAGCTTACACTTTGGTGGGATGAATGGACATTAATTATACTAATTAGAATATAATTAAAAACTGAGACTGGGGCTCTGAGAGAAGGAACCGGACTCTATTAGAGCCTGTAAAGTCTTCTGTGAGCCTTCCAACCAGAGCTCATGTTTCCCTTCTGAAGCCCTCATGGCATTGTATGGCTCTACCAAAGAATTGCTGGGATTCTTTGGCAGCAAGCAACAGAACCCTGCTCTGGTAAATTCAAATAGAAACAAATGTATTTGGAAGATCAGGAATAGCTCACAGAAGCAGAGGAAAAGCTGGGGAACCAGTCCCAGGAGAGGAGAGACCCAGAATCTGGAGGGAGAGGGGGAGCATGAGGCACCCAGGGACAGCCTCCTCAGGGCACTTGTGTGACGGCAGCCGAGCTCCAAAGAGACTGTACGTTTCGTGTAGTGGTTAAAAGCACAGCCCTGTAGCCACACTGGGTCCACCACTTACTAGCTGTGTACACAGGGCAAGTCCCTTCGTTTCCTCGTCAGCAAAATGGAGAAAGAACAGTACCTGCCGCCTAGAGCCGCTGGGGTGATTAACTGAGGTAATTCATGCACGACACTTGAATCAGTGCCCAGTAGATGGCATATTAGTAATGGCAGCAGTTACCGTTATTAGCGTTCCCTCAAGTTCAGATTTCGGGCCGCCATCCTAACTGGGGTCAGGTGCTGGCCAGTTTCCAGAGGAAGGTAGGGAACTTACGACAGCTTCCCCAGGATTACAGCCCAAGTCAGGACAGCTCCCAGAGTGTAGTCAGGGTGCTGTTCCAGAAGAAGGGAGTGTAGTTGGGCTAATGAATAGGCTGTGTCCGCTACCTCTTCCCACCTTTGTCTTATTCAGACTTCCGCCATTGCTCATGGCTTTGCCTTGTTTTGTTTTATAATCACTTCTGTCAGATTTTATATACCTAATGAGCAAGAACCACATCTTGTCTCTGTATCTCTGGAAATACAGTGTCTTCCACATCAAAGATGTTCAACATCTATTTGGTGGATTGAACTAAAGTAAAATATTGGTGTATATATCAGGCGTCCTCAAACTATGGCCCTCGGGCCACATGCGGGCCACCTAGCACATTTATCTGGCCCTCCGGGTGTTTTTGCCGCTGGTGCCTGTCCTGCTTAGCAGCCAACTCATCCCGGGCCCACAGTGTGCACTCTCCAAAGGTCTGAGGGACAGTGAACCGGCCCCTTATTTAAAAAGTGTGAGGACCCCTGGTATATGTGATTCACATCTCAGTTCAAGTAGCATCTGGGAAGGGATGGCTTGACACGTGTTTGGATTTTTTTTTCCTTTGATCCTTCAAGGTTTTTCTATTATCAAGGGAAATATAGAGACAAAGCTGTGTAGGACCTCAGAACCTTCCAGAAATTTCCCAAGACAGCAATGTCAGAAGAGATACCCTTCTCTGCAAAAGTTTTAATTTATTTAAAATGAAAGTAATGTTCTAAGGATGCAAGTAGAATGTTATTCATTTTGTACTGTTTGTACCAGTGCAACATGACCATTGATACAGATATAGCTGAATAAACAAATATATCCATAATAGAGAGTACTACAAAACAGATAAAAGTAATTAAGTTGGTGTCTATATGTAATCACATAGAAAATGCTCCAAGAAATATTGGTGAGTGAAAAAACATCAAGAAGCAGAGTAATACGTATAGCATGGTCCCCTTTTGTAACAAGGAAACAAAACAAAATGACTCTGTATGTTTTATACTGATACATGCATATGTAAAATCATATACAAAGATCATGAAGGTGTATAATATGACTTACTCAAATGAAAATCAAAATAAAAATGACAATAGATATTTCACACTACAGTGGTACATTTATGTACAGACACATACACACATATAACACACATGCACACACATATATAAATGTACCAGTATTTTATTTTATGAAATAAAGTAATTGATTGCCTCTGGGTAGCAAGGGTTAGGGGAGGGACCAGTATTGCAAATGATATTCCAAGGAAATCTTAACCTAATCTTTAATATTTTAATTCTTTATAAGGAGAATATATTTATGAATAATTTATTTGATGGGGAATTTTACATATATATGAAAGAAAGAAAAGAAACTGAAGAATGAGGATGTCCACATGCCTCTGAACTGTCTTCGTTCCAGAGTGCCGGGACATTCTGCTTCCTGTCATCACCAAGGAGCTGAAGGAGCTGCTGGAACAGAAGGATGACATGCAACACCAGGTCCTGGAGAAGAAGTACTGCGTGGAATTACTCAACAGCATCCTGGAGGTCCTCAGCTGTCAGGATGCGGTGAGTCCCCTCGATGATGTAGCTGTCCTGGACTCAGACTAGGCCTGAGCTGATTAAATTCTAAAATATTGATGCTGATGAACACCAGCGGAAGTCTAAAGATAAAAGTCAGCGCTTGCTTGGCAGGCCTACTCTCCCCGTGACTAAGCCCCACTGCTATGAAAGATGGCTTGGGGACTGGAGTTCACCATGGAACATTTTGTCACCATATGTCTTGTTGGGCAGGCTTTCTCAGAATGTAGGTATGGACACTGCTGTACCAGTAGATGGCTTATCCATTTACTCAGGCTTGCAGGGGTGGGAAAGGGAGTTTCCTATGCCTACACAGCCAAGAAAACCCTCGTATCTGCTTTCTTAGCTGATTTCTTTGGGTTTGTTTCTCCAGTTGTCCTCTGCGATGGTTGAAATGATTAAGACTCTTCCTGGATGAGCACATTGGCCAGCTCCAGACTGAAGAGATAGGGCACGGAGTGGGATGGTGGCAGGGAGAGGGCTGTGCGTGAAGCCAATGTGTACTTTGCAGACGTCATTCCGAGATTAGGCAGGGATGGAACCAAAAAGAAAGTCTCAGTGGGAGTAAGGGGAGGCCTTTCAAAGGGCGGAATCTGCAGAAGACGATAAGCCAGATGGAGAGATAGTGATTAGGCACAGGCCCAGACTTCTTACGAATTGGTAGAGGGAGGTGAAGGTTCTTGAGTTGAGCCAGGTTCCTTTGGTAACTCCACCTTGTCCTGGAGCAATGTCCAGGAGGTACCCCGCCATTAGCTGGGACTGGTCTCACAGGACTATGTAAGAGAGACCCAAACAACCAATAAATCTTTTCTAAGTATTTGCGTGAGCATTGCCCCCCTCCCTCTCTTCCCTAGAAAATCCTCAGAGAAGAGCCCTCTGGATAAACTGCATCTGTGACTGACTACAGTCAGAGAACTCTGCGAAGCAACATTCCTTCCTGCTCACATCCCAGAGTCAGCCTTGGTTACCCATTTCCTTGTGGGCTATCTCTCCTGTCTTTTCATTTCTATTCTTAACCATAAGCTTCTTCTTATCCTATTACTAGGCAAATGCAGTAGCTTGATTCATTCATTCATTCACTTAGAAATACATATGATGCACCAGGTGTATGCTAGGCATTGAGGACATTTTAAAGGCATGGTCTCTTGCCTTAGGAAAATCTATACAGATATGCGAATAAGCAATTGTGATACAGCATAATGACTAAAATCTAGAGGGGGTGCAAGAGCTACAAAGGACTGTGTGTGTGTGTGTGTGTGTGTGTGTGTGTGTGCCTATTTAAGCATTTTTGTCAAGGAAGCCTTCACAAAGGAGGTAAAACTTCAGGTGGCATTCAAGGGTGAATAATTTTTTATTACAGTTGTTACTTTATTGGTTGGTTTCTAGACATTGTGCTAAATGCCATCTGCACATTCTCTCTGCTCACCCTGATTCTAGATTAGATACTAAGACTCACTGTTCCCATTTTATAGATGAAAAAACTGAAATTCATAGATTTTTAATTAGCATTCAAGGCCAGACAGCAAATAAATGTCAGGGTCAAAATTCAAACCCAGGTCAGTCAGAGTCTGTGAAATCATAGGTGTAGGGGATACAAAGCATGGGCTTTTTTTCTCTTTTTCTTCTTATTCACACCCTTGTTTTACGGAGACGGAGTGTAACACCCAAGAGTTTAGATATTCAAGATTCGTTCAGATGACAGTGTTAGGATGATGACGTTGTTTCTGTAAGCACGTTCACTAGTCAGCTCTTGAGCTGATTCCAGACTTTGTTATTTGATCTTTTCCTATTGTTTTTTTAAGGGAGAGTTTGGCCTTACTCTTACTTATAGTATAGAAACATGAGGGTTGGCCTCTCATTTCTGTAGCAACATCCTAAAGAATATTGCCTCTCTTGGTTGAAAAGCCAGAAAGCCAGTTTGCAATTTTTTTGCCTTTTTTGTTAATATGTCAGTAGTGCTTACATCCCTTTTAATGGGGAAAAAATCATAGATCCTTGGGAATATCACAGTATACCCTGATTTGAGGAACCCAGCTATCATGGGCTGATTGTCAAGTTCCTGATTTGGGTAGAAGGATAGTCCCAGTTCACAGTTTATCTGCAAAGCAGGATGCTGAGGCTCTGCCTATCCCAAGAGAGTGGCCCCCTAGAGTGCTACCGGGACCAGCTGTCATCGTTTTGCACGTTCCATAACACCAGACACTGGCGAGAAGAGGCTGCTGTCTTACACACCCTCAGCACTTAGGGCTTCAAAGCGGAGAAATGAGTGGGAGGCTCTGAGCTCCCCGTGGGGGCTCGTGGCATCTGGACTTGAGGTGTGTGGGAGGTGCGGTGTCACTCTTTCCTGGCTCTGAGTGCATTGCTTTTATAATAAATTCTGACTGCGGGGACTAGCCCACCCCTTCTCAAGGTGAGCACCTGTCTTTGCTGGATGAGTTATTAAATGCTGTTATCATCACTGGGTTTGGTACGGATTTTCATGCTTCTGCTGAGCCTCAGATCTCACCTCTCCAGCTCGTGAGGATGGAAATCTCTCTCCTCTTCTCAAAAGCCTCTTCAATGAGTAGGACTCATTCAGTGGCCATGATTACTTTGAGCTAAACTGAAATTCAGAAGTTCGAAAGTATCCAAAAGTAGATCTCTCTTGTCCTAGCATATAGCAGCTCCCAACTTGGACTGCACGTTCATATCGCCTGGGGAGCTTTGTAAAAGCAGCAGTGCCTAGACTCCATCCTAAGCATCCTGACTTACTTGCTGTAGGGTTGGCGGGGCCGTTGTGATGAGGTGACAACACACAGGTGGCAATGGGCAGCCAGGGTGCAATCACAGTCCTAGTGCAAAAGGGCACCCCAGTGACGTGGAGGAGCTATTGAAACGCATTTCTGATCTTAGCTCTGAAGGGTGGGGTCCAATAACTTATTTTTCTAAGGAGTTTCCAGGTGATGTTGTTGCTGCTGATCCAGGGATCATGCTTGAAGAACCACTGCTCTGATGTGACCCATTGTTTTCTTCAGTATTTACTAGGAATGGAGGAATAGCTGAGCTCTTTCTCTGTCCCTGTACCTTCTTAATTTAAGAGCCCTTTGCAGTCTGTAAAATCGAGCTTTTTCCAATATGAATTTAATAAACCATAAAATGACAAAGACTTCACATTCATTTGTACTCATAAATTCATTTTCGTGGAATAGCAGGGACATGGCATATGCAAAGATACGACTTTGAAAATCCAGATCATAGGATGTGCTGTTTGGTTTCTACAGGCACCAACTTCTCAGAATTAGAAATTTGGAAGAAAACAAATAAAAAAGGCTTCCGGTTGTTTGGGCCCTCTCTTCCAATAGTGGCATAGCCATTTTTTACTGGCTTTTAGTTGGCACCATGGAACAACCCATTGTCCCACTCCAAGCTTGGAGACTATGTCCACCTACCAATCCTGTGGAAATTTAGCAATTATAGTGCAGGACGCCAAGCTTAGGTTTTGGGAGGTTGTGCATTTGGGGGATGGGAAAGGATGCTTGTCTTCAATTAATTGTCATTATTTGGATAATTACACCCCAGCACAGCAAGCTATCCTTATTCTTTATAACCCCGGGTGGCATATGACTCAGGAGGAAATGTCTGCCTTGGCCCAGGGTTGATTTTTTTAATGATAGTGTTAGATTCCCTCACCCAGCTTATTTGAGTTGCACTTAGCATATGAAAAGGACCAGCTCAGGTGAAGGATAAAAAGCCTGACTTCTGCCTCTATTAACTCCTTTTCTCCCCCTCACTGAGCAAGTTTAGTTGTCAACTCTGGTTACTTTGAAAGGCGGTTTCACACTGGCTTCTTTCTGTGCCTCGCCTGCTGCTGAGTAACTCATAAAATTTAATTTTGCACCAGACCCAGAGGGAGTTGGTTTTTTCCCCTCTTAAGACAGGGTTTTTGCTTTTATGTTTCATTCCTCTAAGAAAAAGGAGAGTCGTCGTTTTGTACCCTGCTTAGCAATCATAAAGTGGGTAAAGATGATTCCTAATTCTGAAGAAGAAAAGATGTTGGTTGAATCTGAATCATGGAGGTAAGGAATGTCCAGAATCATCTTTTTAGAAAAATTCTTTGAGTCTATTGACTAAACCTGGGGAGATTTATCCCAGGTACCGTATTTGTCATGAACGGTTTCAGGGTTGTGATATTTTTATTTAGACACTGGCAGGGAGGGCTTTTGCTCGTGCAGTTTCTCTTGCTTGGAATGTTCTTCCAAGTCCCCACCCTTTCCATGCAGGTAGAATCTTAAACTCCTTTTAGGTTCAGCTCAGATAATACTTCCTTTCCGAGATTTTCTCAATTCTATTCCCTCTTCCCTCCCCTTCCCTCTGCCCCCATGTAGAATCAGGGACTTTCTTGTTTGTGTTTTTGTAACCAACCCTGTGTTCACACTGATATGCCAGCACAGTGGTTCTGTGTTACCCTCTGCTGGCCGTGCCCCACCCCCTTGCCAGGCTTGGAGAGCAGGAGCTGGTATCCCCTGACTTTGCAGGGTTAACCCTCTCAGCCTCACCTCTTGCCAGTCCCACCTACACTCTCCCTCTTCCTGCTCCAGTAAAAACCCCCTCAGTTACTCAGACGTGCTGCATTCTCTCACTTCGCCGCATGTACTGTCTGCAATGCCCCAGCGCATGGCCTCCACTCTTAGCCTAGCTAAATCCTACCTAAGGCTCAGACGTCATCTTAAATGCCACTCTCTGCAGGAAGACTTCTCTAATCCTCTCCCCTACCTCTGCTGTGGTCCCAGGAGCAGCTCTTGTGCTGCTTCCTCGCAGCACCTGAGTTGTCACCCTCAGTGGACTTGTCTGTTTGCCTGGGGAATCGAAAGTGCTACGACAACGGAGATCTGGACACTCTATCTGGCCCCTTTGCCCATCCCAGCACAGTGAATAAATAAATGCATGTGACTCACTCAGATCAGTGGCAGGGCCTGATTTCTCCCTGGGGCCCTCTGTTTTGAGTGCGA